ATAATAGCAAAATGCGTCCTTAAGTGTTCAATTAATGAATTGTTTTAGTGAATAATATAATTGTATGTACCTACATAGAACAATGATAGTTGACATTCAAATAACAAAAACAATAAATTATAAAATTCGCATGATTTCCAAGTAGCGAAACCCGTACATATATTGAAAGGAACACAATATTTATTTACAATAAAATTATTATTATATAATATAATAGCATTTTTATCGCAGTTTTTTTAAAATAATAAATACAATTGCTCGATGATTTATTTTAATTCAATTTAATTTTTGTAACTTTTGATATATTATGTTAATTAATAATTTATATTTTATATATTTGTGCACCAAAAGGCAAATGATTAAAATATGGTCTCGCCAAAACGTCCAATTCTCTAATAGAATATTATTTTTCCTTGGCCAAAACGGAAAAAGGACAGTTTATCTGATATGGGTTTATATGGTCTGATATGGACCTAGTTTGGGAGGGAGGGCGTGGTCCGTTTACTCAAACAGCTTCGATCAGCCATGCAGGTTACTTTATTCTTACTTATACGAATTGTTAAGATACTCGTGTAACAAAAATCTTGAGAATTTAATATAGCTAAAATGAATATAACTAATTTACAGCTCGTTATTTTATACTATTTTTAGGTTTTGCATTGAAAATAATTTAACAAGATTTGAATTAAATCTGTATCGTAATTAACTATTAGTTGATGTCTGCGTGATAAGTAAATCGGATAAAATTAAAAGCAGCTTAAAGGTCGAATGAAAATCAAATTTAAAGACCCAAAAACTTTTAAAAAGAGATTTTCGTTACGAGAATATAAAATAATAATCTATATAGTCTTAGAATGATATAAAAACTTTAATCTAATTTTTGGGTATACTTAAAGAAAATCCATACGACAGTCTCTTTGACGATGTATTAAAGAGAAAAATAAAACGCCAAACTCATTAAAAATGAAGTTTTTAAATAATTAAATCTTTGGGTATCTGGCAAAAAATAATTGAAATAAAACTTATCAAACGAATTTGATTTTAAGATATTATACATCAGTAATTACTGTTAATAGTATAAATTATAAATTATGGTCAAGGGTTATGGCTGCTTAAATAATAATCATTGTATAAATATGAAGCATTAAAAAATATGCAATTGAACTTTGAAGTTAAGAATAATTGAATTCAAATTAGTTTTCACAAGATATATTTGTATTTAATTAAAATTGATTTTATTAAGATTACCTTTATAGGTATACATGTTATTTATTTAGTACAAAATTAAACAATGTATATTGTATATTGTACAATGCAATTTATGATATCCCATTTTTGAATATTGTATCAAGAATTTTGTGCAGGTTTCGATAACAGGTTACAAATAGTATACGTATAACACGATTCAAAATTTGTTTTTAAGAACCGTTACAATTTTATAATGTGAATAGAGATAGCGCATACAATATTGTTGAACAAAATCTAATGAATAAATTTATCGATAAATGGTATGTAAAAATATTTTTTGCATGTTTAAGGTTTTGAATTTAGGTTAAGTCAATATTTTTGTATTTTCCTGTATATTTTGGTGTAATATTCATGGCACGAATTTACGGCATTTTGACGAGGCCGCCAAACTCTTATAGCTTTACCAATAAATAGAGTGAAAAAAAAAACACAAACACAAGACAATAGAGGTACATTTTAAACTTTCGGTTAAAGTTCGGTTTTGCGGTTCTCTTGAATAATATATGAAGTTTGCCGACGTGGTAGAGGGCTTGACGTGTATTATTGCCGACAATGACTGATGCCCAAGGTGCCTTATTACCTACTTGTGACACAAGCTTGTATAACAATAATAATGAGTTAGTAGACTATACTCTTCGACACATACCTCACCCTATATATCATCCAAGTTGCCTCAACCAATATGTGATGGGTTGTATTGAATGAGACAGTTGATGCAAATATACGCAGGAGGGTTATAGAACATTATGAAGGATTTTATAATAATATAACTAGTGAAAACGATAATAACAATAATAACGATAATATGAAAAACAATAGCAGTTTTTCTAAATCAATAAACATCGGGAATAACTGATAAAAAATTAAATTTTTTTTAACTTTTTCTTTCTATTTTATATAATTTGATATAATATATAATATTTTACAATTATAAAAAATACAACTCAACTAATACGTTTGATTATATTAAAAAAAAAATTAAATTCTTTTTTTACTATCGTTCAAGCAATATACTTACACTTAAAAAACTAATTTAAATATTATGGCATTCACTAATATTTAGGGTAAAATCAATCGTATCATTATCAAAACGCACATTGCAAAACAATTCAAACAAACATGGTTGAAGTGAACCCAGAGCAGTAAACACAATAATATATAACGTTGTCTAGTTAGTGGCCAAAGGATCTTTTGACGACTGATTAAAAAGCAACAAGTAGTACTATTTGTTATCTTTGTTAATTTACAACCAACACCAGGCAGCGAGTTTCACGCAGCGAAATGGTTCGGTTGTGTAAACAGCAACAGAAACAACAAACATAATACGATCGATCAACGCGAGCAACCACCCGCGCACATGGCACATGTGGGATTTAGCGTGCGCCACCACCAAGACGAAACGATATATAATCACGGAGTGAACATAAAAATAACAAATCCCTCGTTTTATGTGAAATTTCACGACGGAAATCATTACACACAGGATGGTAAAAATAATAACAAATAACACACGTACACTCAGATATGAAATAACAAGGGGCAAATGGGTGTGAGGTGGGAGAAGGGGAGAAGGGCTTAAAAATGTGTGGCCAGGGACGAGGGGAGCTAAGTAATAAAAGTTTTTCCCTTAAACGGATTACCGACGATGATGGATTACGCGTGGGAGGGGGGCTCCGGTGGCGGTATATATGACTGGATTCCAAAAAACAAATACAACTTGATAAATTTTACACGTTCTATACCGACACATTGGCCGAAAATCTGTCTAGCCCGATTGAACACGTCCAGAATATTTCATTGAAACTTTTTTGGAACGGTGATAACTGGTTGAAAAAACGTACATAAATCGGCTAAATCTGTTTGGTAACATAAAACAAGATATGCTTTGAAATAACAATAAATAAGTCTGGAGTCATAAATTCTCCTACCTATACTGGCAACTTGTATACCATCGACCCAAATAGCTAATCTAAAATAAATATATATATATATATATATATAAAACAAAAAAAAATAAAAGTAATAATTTAGACACAAATAATAATTGCTAAAATTATAAATCACGAACATTGTTACGTTTGGATATTATACTTTCATCAGGCTGTTATTATTATAATATCAAACCAAAAATAAGCATGCTATTATAATGTGAATAACTTCATTATTTTGCAACTAAAAGAACTTGCCTGCTTAACTTTGATATTAATTTTAGTACGGCTCAATAAACAAAATATTATTTTGGGGGAAGTATCGTTTGATCTACAAAATGAAGGTTTTGTGATCACGAGAATTAGCTATAGTTTAGAGAAGTGCAAATATTTAATATTGATTTAATATTCTAAGACACTTAGATGGTTTTATATAAATAAATAAATTAATGGAAATTATGATCGAACCCCTTTTATCGCAAACATAAGTAGGTAGTTATTAAATATTAATAATACGAATATTAAGCTGTAATTAAACATAGTATTATAGTGATCATAAATAATAACGAACATTCCTTTTTGTTGCCAGAGTACCGCTTTTTAACGGTTATAATATAGATTAACTTGTGAATTTTTTAGACGTTTATTTAATGCGAATGTTATAACATTTTATTATTCACATGCGGTTTGGAGGCATTGAAAAAAGTCATACTTCATACTTGGTTTAAATAGGTACAACGGAACACTATACCTAATAGAAACGAAACTTAAAAATTAACGTATAGCTTATATATGAATATAGTTAGGTATAGTTAATTGATTTATTTAGTCGTTATACCCTGCCGTGCACGTATACATTATATACGAGTTTAGTATACACGACATATAAACACAACAAACAAGTAACGTATAAATCATATAACTTTTATGCTATGCGTAACTTGTTTTTTTTTCTTTTTTCAACACATATGAATATCAGACATTTTCATAAATTTATTTTACATTCAATCCTTGTAAAATATCAAAACGGTTGAATACAGGCGTGCCTTTCACATTAAAATATCGAAGCGTTTATAAAACGTGTGAGACAATATTTAAGGATGAACCGCTGCAGACACGCATTCGTGTTACGAGGGGGTTTTCCATTCAATGCTTTTTTTTTTTACTTATATACAGTGTGTATCACGGACAGTTGACAGTTGTAAACGCAATAACAATGTTCGTCTGTCAAATGCTTGCGTTACACACCCTGTACATATACAATTGTATGGTCTTCACTTCTCTATATGTGCAATCCAGACAATATTATTAACGTCGATTCAATAATATATGTATATATATATATAAAAGCTTGCATAGCAGTTCCTATCTATTCATTTTTCATAAGAGCGCGTTTTAAAAATTTTAATTTATTATTACCCGGCTGAACAATAAACGTTCGGGTGGAAAAAAAAACTGACCTTATCGAATCGTTACGAAAGCCATAATGCTTTTCTCCGGCATTGTTAACTGTCACGGACGTCAATCAAAAAACGCCGCCCCGGTCTGCGGGGCCTTTATGTTTGACACATGTTATAAACTCGACCGACAAGGCGGCGAAACGCGGTTTAGCTGACGGTTTGTTTCAATAAATCTGTCACGTGGCCTGTCAGCATCGATTTGAACTGCTATTGGATGAGTGGAAGTGTGTGTGTGTATGGTGTGTAGAGAGGGAGAATTAACGCATACGCGGATTTCGACGGTGATATGGGTATACAGCCGGATAGGTGAGAGGACGAGGGACAACATCACTAACGAAGGCTTGGAATGTCTCAAGTTATTTACCTGTGCTCTCGGTGTTATGGACGTCCGGGCAAGCTTGAAACTTGAGCATCAACCTCGAGTCTGACGTACACGAATCGGCTTTTGAAACCGGCGACCTATAGAACAAACAATGAGTTTTAGTAATTGCTAAAATTATCTAGTAATCGAAGCACGCCGTAAAACGTAATTAGTTTGACGTATTATTCGATTCACTAGCTCGATGGTCGGGGCTGGGAAAGCCCGTGATGAAATGTATCCAAATAAAATAGTTTTATGTTCTATATAATAAGAGTAACTTGGATGATTTAAAAACAATGTAACATACCTACTAACATATATTATAATGTTTTTGTATGCATCATTATTTTTAATCATACGTGTCTATCTATCATATTGATAATATACATTTCCTTAAAAAATAAAAATAAGTATCCGAAAATTTGACCACATACCTAAGCATAATATGTATAGAGTATATGATAAAACTGACGAAATAAAATAATCGTTCTACTGGCGCCGATCAGCAAAATATTATAATATACCTATTCTTTTATTGAAATTCCAGCTGCAGATTGTCATGCTATTTATTTCGGCAATTCATAAAGTCTTGAATATTATAATGTTACATATTATTAATATTTATCATATAAGTAACAGACTGTATAATATGTTTATTGTATATTATTAGTGAAACGAGTTTAACACATATTAAAGTAGATCCGATTAATTGTAGTTACCGATTTTATTATGTTGAAAAACTGTGCTAATACAATAGACATAGTCTAAGAATGTATATTTCTGAAGTGTATCATATTTTATTGGCGAACATAGCGATGTATTCGATGTATTTAGGTGGGTACTTTTAATCGAAATTAGCACTTCGTATTAATACGAATATAATGTAACGATTCAACCAAGAAACCTACGGTAGGTATTTAACAAGATCCCATCTATAATACCAGGTAACAAAATAATATAACATGTCTGTGTAAAGTTTACTCACTTGCATTCGGTGAAACCACCACGGCTATACGAGAAATGAAACGGCGCTTGAAGCCCATCAAACGGGCACGGGATCGGAGTGGCATCTACCCTAAACATGGAGTAGAGCGGAGCGTCACTGGTAATCTCTCCGCACAGTTCGTCGAGGCTGCGTTTTTCGCATATTGCGTCTGAAACATAAAAGGAAATATTTATGAGCACAATTCTTTCGGAAACACTGTGTATTGGAAACAGACAAATTGATTAAGAAATTCTTTATACGCTTGTATAGTTATTGCGTTTCTAAATCGACCGAAATGCAATACATATTTTCATGTACACAATACATAATATGCTTAGCTCCGATCTCACGCGTTCTCAAATTGAAAAATACGAGTCTGCGTTTAGATTAGAGATATGACTTTATGTAACGCCGTAATAGAGATAAATGTTAGAAAGCGCTATTGAGGTTTTACACAACACAAATAATGTTGTACAGTATAGGTACATTTTGTGTAAGTCAGTTTACTAAAATCTTGATATACGATCGGTGATTGTTTAAAAGCAATAGGTATGATAAATCGTCGAAAGAATAAAACAATAATGGAAAGCACAGCTCGTGTATACTGTATACATATTTAAAAACAAATTATTATTTCAGAAGTCTCACTTTAGTTTTTGTCGTTTATATTGTATTCGTGGTTTAATTATACTAGTTATTAAGTATGTCTTTAATAACGGTTTTTAAGTATACATATTACATATTGTATATACTTCGAGCATTGAAGTATTTACACTGTTATGTACTTATACGACGACGTTAATGATATATTTGCCCAGCACTACATCCCGCATGGTACATCTCCTTCATTATAATTATTATTATTTATTAATATACATATATGGTACGTACTATTATGTAGGTACTTATGTGCTGTGTCCCGATTTTTATTATGGATACGCTTTATACTGTACTCACTCATCACTTAAGTCATTAGTCAGCATGTATATAATTTACATAACAATTTTATGTACATATATATATATACCAGCGGTGGTTAATAATACTTGTGTGTACGCGATGTATCGCCGGCACACTCGAGTAATGCTTTCCGTTCACGATTTATCGAAACAGAAAAAAGAGAAAAAAAGAAAAAAGAAGGTCGTTTTATCCGGGCAAGGGGGCGGGTACATGGCGGATAAAATACGGGGACAGTTATACGCATATACGCGGGGGACCTCATATATCGATCGTAATGCAATATTGCGAGTCGGGCGACCCGAAGCACTTCCGTTAAACGTCTCGGGACACGGAACCAATATCATTATACGGTGCGTGTGTGTTGGGTGGAAACGCGATTCCGGGATCAGCCCGTTTCGTATTCATTTCCTCGTCGTACCCTCGCAGACCAACTAAATTATTAACCCGCGACGATAGGGTTTCACTCTCTGCCGTCGTGCGTGTGCGTCTTACCAATACGCGTATACCGCGTATACCAAACGTACGGTAGGTATGTGGATATACCGCTTTGCATTGAGCGTAGATGGGCGGTTCAGCGAGCGATGTTCAGCCCGTCGTGTCGCGGAAACGGTAGTTATGTCGTCGTATTTTAGTGCACTTCGCGTCATAGATTATATTATGTAATGTCAGCGTAAATAGGTAAACATTCAACCGCGCGCGTGTGTGGTAATAACACTCATCGGATATATTATATTATTTCGAAACTAGGACCGAACCGAAAGTGCAAAAGAAAGTAAGAGTGGTATTATTGTTCACACAGAGTCTCCTCGGGTGTCGGTTAAACAGGCAAAAAAAGTATATATTTTTTTAAAGTTTTCTGTTTAACATGCTTTCTATCAGGCACCGTGACAAGGAGTAAAGTTGCGAAATATCCCCTACAAGGTTGTTAAAAATTAGCGGTTTTGTCACTAACGTCAACGCATTTCAAAACTTGTCAAATTATGAAGTTTACGCCCAAGTAAAATAACAATAACCATAACAATAGGTAGGTACCTATTAATAATACAAACAATGTTACTTGTAAAATTAATGTTTATACCTAATATGTGTTGTATAATATTATTATAATATATAATGTACTGAATTAAAAAAGTGTCAAACTTTTATTGACTTAAACCGTATAATCACCAAGCTTTTAGACCAGAGTACAGACTTTAACCCTATATATATATATATTTGATCATTTCAGAATAGAGCGAGTACAAAACAGATTTTTATCCTATGCTGCCTTCAAATCAAAAATTAAACATCTCATACATGATTACTCACTCATTTCCTCTAATCTTCGAATCCCTTCTTTAGCCTCTCGACCATCATTTCATCTCTTCACTTCTTGAGGGATCTCTAGATTTTCCTGAATTGCTCTCTTCCATATCATTCCGTATTCCTACTCACTCTACTAGAAATCATTCCCTTTTTCAATTACCGTACCACCACACTTAATATGGAAAGTGTGGTGGACACTTACTTCACAGAATGTTACGTAGCCTCAACTCAGCCTTGTCTTTCACATTTTTGTTGCCTGATATTTATTTAACATATTATAAAGTTTCTTTTTCTCTTTGCTACTACTTATTCAACTGTTTTTGCTATATTAAGTTTACCAACAAATTATTGTACTTAAATTAATGCCTGCTTCGGAGTAAATCAATAAATAAATAAATCATTTCTGTCTTTCTAGATATTATATGCGCAGTTCGACTATCTCCTGTATAATAATCTTCGTCGGTTGGATGCATTGTCGGTGGTCACTATGTGTTACGTATACACACACACAAATAATATTTTACTATAGGTAGGTATATAATTTAACAGGCTAGGTTTCCATGCTAGTCACGACGGCCGGAAATAATAATACCTAATAATAATAATAAGAACCACGAAAAGCCTCTGATTATTGTTATTGTGCGTGCGTACACAGCAGTACATGAACATACATATATAGCATTATAGCTACATGCATTATATTATATATAGTGTTTGTGTATATGTATATAATGTGCATTTTGTGAGCGTGCGAAAACTCCGAGGCGCTTTCTGAATTTCAGTGATTACCGGAACACAATTAGGGCAGGGGGTTGAGCGAGTGGTGGTGGCTCATGGTGAAAAGAGGTAAGGGGGAGTTTTTTCTTTCTTAGTGAAAATGAAATTTGCCGCACACATGACACGAATTGACAACGTGGACCCTAGGGGGTGTGATATTCCAAGGGACTACGGGAGAGGCCGAGAGAAAAAGTTTTCGACCGCTCCACATAACCAAACAGACGTAAAAATTGGACGGGAGAGTGAGAGAGGGGTAAACACACTTCAGACAACTTTGCCCGGGTAGAACGCTAGCTGTATAGAGGAAAACCATGCGTGTTACATTAAACATCACTCAAGTAAAGCGTAAAAGTTTGGTGACCGTCGTCGTAATTGTAAGTCGCTTTAAGTCAAAATTCCTCGAATTCCTAAAGTTATATTTTATGAGGTTTTTTTTTGGAGGCTGTTTAAGAAAATTATAAAAATGTATTCACGAGGATAAAAAAATTGTTTCAAAGTACGACAAATATATTATCCTATAAACGTCTACAACGTTCTTTATGAATATAAAATGAAAAATATGACAGGAAATGTAAAGCTCCGTTATCTCGTAAATGCCATTTGGCACGTTCTCTTTCGTTTATTGACCAACCATGTGATAAATAATATAATATACAGATTAATATTAAACAACGGTTATAATTACAGTAAAAATGTAAAATAGGAATAATATGATTTATTTATGTTGATAAAAAAAGCATAATATTATGTTGTATTATTAATTATTCAAGGATAACAATTTCAAAAATCATTTAAATAATTTTATGATTTATAATTATTAAGTTTGTCTAAAACGATTCCCATTGATAAATAAATAAATAATTATTTCACATATTTTACGCATGCAGAAATAACATCATAATGTATAAAATATTTTGTGGTGATATTGCCAAGTGCAAAACGCGACATTTTCTTTGTGGGCGTGATTTTAATATGCATTTCAAAACTTAAATGTCATAATAAGAGTGTCATAAAAATATATATTTTTTATGAATTTGAGCGAACAATTATACTTAGTTAGATTATTTTTTATTTACATTGCCCTATATAAACAGAATAAGAAGTTGTTGGTTTAGTGGATATTATAAATTAAATATGAATAATATTCTTATTTTGACATGTACCAATGGAATATTTCCAACGATAAAAATATATTAAGCATGAACTTCTACTGTAGGTATGTGTACGGATCAAAGTGAAAAAGGTATTAAATACTTTTGTGTATATATTTCCCAAAAAAATAAAAATAAAACCACATAAAAATGCAAAAATGTATTAATAATTAAAATATAGTATGTTAAAAAAAGTTATGCTTACGCGTAATTTTAAATTCATTATTAATGAAAAATATAAATTATTTTGATCGTTGAAACTTGAAATGCGTATATACTATATTATTATATGCCCATTATATATATTATTATTTGTACCGTCATCCATCTGAATATAATAGTATGTAACACGGGCGATTACGTCGAAATAAATACAGTTTCATTAGTTGAAATACCTAATAAAAACCGAAGAGATTAACGTTGGAGGCAATGGTTTTAGTTTAAGTATATTGGATTGTCGTTGTACAATTGAATTTCACGCGCAATGTTTTCCGGATGAGTGAAATAAATGGATAGACAGAAGAAAACCAGTGTCGCATTACAATCATCCATTAGCAATGGACATGAACACTTTCGGGGTTTTTTTTTTAACATTGTTTTTTTTTTTTTTTATTAGATTTAAAATTATTTATTTAGCTTGTGTTTTTTCCCGTCTCGTTTTTAGGGTACACGACCCAACTCTACTCGGCAATGCATTCTGATTATCGGTTCGAAATGATCAATGGATTTTCCATTTTGTCATGCGTCAAACATTACATGCTGTGCCCTTCGATTTAATTTATAATTAGTTATATTTATAGTTATATTATTAGTTATAATTCACAGTTTTCATCAAAACAACACAATCGCAATGGTACCCATACTGTTGCTATATTTTAACAGTTGTTTTCCGAAATACTATAATCATACTATAATAATCCTTTAATACTGTCACCTGACCGTTCTGCTGTTATATAATAATAATATTATATACACT